TACAAAAACAAGCACTTATTTCTTATTCACACACCTGCAGTTGATAGAGGTTCAGCTGACCTAACCTGGGCTTGCCTGGACTTGGTTCTGGGATGTGGGTTGGGCTCAGTTCTGGACCACATGTTTCTTATCCTCCATGTACATGTTCTTCTCATGGGGAAAGGAAGGAGAACAAGAGACAAAGTCACGCATACAAGCACATTTCATGTCTACTTGTCTAATATTCTGACCTCCCATTGGCTATAGGGAGTCACATGGCCAAGGCTAACATCAGCAGCAAGGGAAATGCACTTCTCTCTTTAGGTTGTGGGACAAGGGGAGAGAATGAACATTTGTTAAACCATAAGATAGCCTACCCCAGGATTGTAGCACTTTTTATCCTCGTGGTTTTCCTTTGCTGCACTCTAAATTTCACTATTCAGGTAAATTGAGAGGCATGAGAAACGGCAGGCATGGTAAGTTGTGGTCTACCATATTTCCTGCTTTCTGAACTTTTGCATGTTCTAGGTAAAACCATTCCTAGTAAATTATTAAATCTGCTGAGCATTTTTCCCATGATGCACTTGCCTCATTTTAGGATCTCCCACCTTTTTCATTTCCAATATTAAACTTCTGGCAGTCACCTCCCAGACATTTGATATGCCAAAAAACATTCTTTTGCAACAAAACCCTACCAACAAATTTCCTAGCTCTTTGCTCATTTGCCTATAACAGTGTCAAGCAAAGCTCTTCAGGACAGAGGTTCCAGGAAATGAATAATAATGTGCTTTCAAGGACTTAATGCAAGCAAAGAAACCAAAAATTCATTAAGGAAATATTGTCCACTAGATAGGTATCTTCATAATGAAATAAAGCTGCTATTTCTTTGATGTTAATTTGAATTTTATACAGAGCCTCTGTAATTGAGCAGAACCCTGGAGAGAGGAATCAAGGGAACACAAATTATAAGCTTTTTGTGTCATAATAGAACAAGCATACTTCGTATCATTACTTTTCCTGCAGAACAGGATTTGATTCGGAGGAAAATCAAATTAACTTTTTAAAGTACTAGTATTATGTAACATGACGTAATGTAAACTATCATAATAACCTGTTAACATTTATTAAATGATTAAATTATTATATGCTAAGTACTTGTATGATGGCACAGGTGTATATTCTCTCACTTAAATCCTCATAATAGCCCTGTGAGATAGATATTATTATATCCCACATTCATAATATAATATGTTATAAAAATTAATCAAAGCCATAGATATGCCTCTCTAAATTCAAGATAGAGGGTAAAATAACAAGGCAAGAAAAATAGGGAAGACTCAACATTTCACTGGCCGGGGCACGTAGTTGTTTTCTATTTTTGCAGAGTGAGTTTTTCAGTTTCATTATGAAGGTAAAAGCATTGTCAGCATTGAGACCATTGACATCAAGTCAGAAAAACTTATTTGAGAAGTTTATTGTACTGATATTTCATCAAATGTACGTTAAGGGGTTCCAAATGCAATGACCTACTTTCTAATCCCACCTTGGTCTATATGATGTTTTGGCTATGCTGCAGTTTTCCTGTACACGTTATTGATTTCTATCTCACTCTTATTTCTATCGGCAGGTTGTTTTAACAGAAAAAGAAAAGGTAGGAGTAGGTTATAAACTGAGGTTGTACTTCTGTCATGCCCTGTAAGCATTTTCTGGACTCCTCTGAAGCCTAGGAGTGCCAGGAGCTCCAATTCACTGACTGTAATAAAACTTTCTATATTTGGATGTGATTTATCTCATGAGTTGGTTTGAGGTATCTCAAAGTGTATATTAATTAAGCTCCAGCCCCACAGCTGGCAGCCTGTGTCTCTGACACACCACTTCTAACAGGGGCAGCTTGCTGACAAGAGGTTTGGCTACACTTAACACCCATGTTCTTTATGAATTTTCAGGATTTGAACTTCTGCATGACTTTGGCCTGAATGATTTCCATAAAAATAAACTGTGTCCCAACACTTAGAAATATATTGCTTGTAAATTGTCTTTTCCCCTAGTTTCAATATTTGTGAATCCCTTTTATCTTCTTGGTGTCCTGATGGGTTCTTATTACTCCAGCTTCAAGAATCCAGAAGCAAGTTTGTGACTTTTGTGCACTGTTGTGTGCAGAAAGATGGACCATGCTAGTTGGATGCTCAAAAAAGAGATGCCCCTGGCTACCTCCTTTCTCTGTGGCATTATTCTGCCTGTGCAAAGAATTATTCTTGTTCTAACATCTCTCAAAGTGACTGAACAAACTATTTTTTTCCTTTCTCTAACGTGCTGCTTGATATTCTGAATGCTGATGATGCTGTTGAAAGTATTTTCAATCTATTAAGCATTAACCTTTCAGTCTTAGGTTTTCCCATAACACTTGGTGCATATCTCAGTTTACTAGTTATATCCATTCCTTGATTATCCATTCTGTGGTGAAGTCACTCCCTACAAGTGAACTTGAGGATAGGGAATGTGTCTTATTCTTCTTTCTATCACACATACTTTTACAGTGCCTGCCATAGCTAGGTAGGTCCTCAGTACCTGTTCATTGAGTGAATGAATAAATGGGGGAGTGAATGAATGAGTGAACAGAAATGTACTCCATTCACTTTATGAAACTAGCAGAAACCTTGAGACTAAAAAAGAACTGAAAAGAAAGATATAGGCCTAGATCACTTGGGAAAACACATTCAGAATCCTAAATGAAATTCCAGGAAACCAAATTCAACAGTACATTAAAAGAATCATCCAGTATGACCAAAAAGGGTTTATCCTGAAGCTGCAAGGATAGTTTTCTATTAAGAAAGCTCTTGCTGGTGGTGTGGAAATGTAAAGTGTTACAGCCATTTTGGAAAGCAATCTAGCAATATCTATTAAAGTTGAAAATATGTATGTCCTTTGAGCCAGCTATTCCACCCCTGGGAATCCATCCACAGAAATAAAAGCACAAGTGCATGAGAATACACATACAAAAATGTTTCTTGTAGGATGGTTCAGAGTGGCAAAAACGTGGAAACAAAGTTAATGCCCATCAGTGGAGAAGGATTAAATTATGATGGCACACCCACGCTATAGGATATTATGCAACCTTTAAAAAGAATGAATTACAGTGATAATTTCTACAAGGTATTATTTGATGATAAAAAGCAAAATGCATAAGAGTAGTTATAAGATCCCATTGGGTTAAAAAATAAAAACAAACCTCAACAAGCAAAACAGAAAACAAATCTGTGTAGTTCTCTATTTACTCATTGAATAACTTTGTAAATATTACTTATTTTGATCTGTTTCTTTCTTTGTAAAATTGGAGGCAATAACAGTACATATCTTAGAGGATTTTTGAGAGATTAAAGGAGCTAATACATGTAAAATGTCAGGTACACAGAAAGTAACTGATGAATATTAGCTATTATTGTTAGGTTATAGACATGAATAGAATATGCAGAATCCAATGAAAAATATGGAAGAATACATAGTAGATTGTTAACCTACTTTTGTTTTGTGTAGAAGAGAGGCTGATGTTGGAGAAAGAAAGTTCAAGTAAATAAGGAAAATAAATGTATATTTCACATTTATGAATTTATTTTAAATTGTGGCACATGGAACTATATTATAAATAAATTGAAAAATCTGTTACTAGGTTTATCAAATCAATTGACCCAATAAGAAAGAATAATACAAAATTATATACATTGAAAGACATTTACTAAAATTCAATCCCATCCCTCCTTAAGCACCTGTAAAAAAATTTTGAAAGGTGCTTATTTAAATATGTAAAGGATAAATATTTAAAATAATAGCCATCATTAACTCTGATGGGGAAAGAATAGAACTGGGCTTCTCATTTACGTATTTTCTGGGATAGTAATTCTGCAAGTGGAAAAAAATGGATTCTTGTAAGTGCAATAATTTGGGAACATGTTGCTCACAAGTAGCCCACACCTGAGTCATGGTGAATTTCAGGATGGCAGAAGTGTAAGAGGTCCTTTTCCACCTTTCGTTCTAGGTAAACTGTCACTTCCTCAGAGACATGGGCCCAGAGACATGGCCCTATTTCTTCATGTGTGTCCCCTTTTCCTCCATGCTCTGTCACATTGCTCTGTGTCCTCCCATTGCAACCATTAATTAAGGGAACACCAAGAAACACAGCGAAATTTTCTTAAGAATTTTCTCCTTATGTGCTCTAGCTGTTATTTACACTGTAGTTTCCTTGATTTAATCAGATTTCTTCGTGAACATTTTTCTTCTTAAGAACTTTTTAAAGAAGTTTATCTTTAAAAAGTCAATCTCTGTGGACATTGCAGCGGAGAGTCATGATGACGTCATTGCTACTGTGTGCATGGCTTGTTGAGAGGTATTGACTCATGGTGGAATTTCAGGTGTTGGTTTTTCATACTTGCAAAAATGGGGCAGTAGTTCTTGCATCCCATCTTTCCTGGAAGTATTTTGTGCACAAAAGAATGCATTTTTACAGAGTCCTTTTCAGTTCCCCTGATGGAGTGAGTTTGACATTGGCAAGATAGTGTCATGATTGCTATCAAAGTTCAAAGACCGTTTTTCTTTCTCATGGTTAACTCTGTAAGCAGCCAGTGTGGCCAAACAGCTAGGTTATCTCTTATCTTTCTTAGTGCTTTGTGTTAAGATCCATTTAAGCCTGTGACTATTTTTTTTTCCCCCTTTTTCGGGGGTAGGGTGGTCAGGAGAGGTTTTCAGAATTGAAAGAATTTCTTCTGTTTTTTTCTTTCTTGTGATCACAGAATAACTGTGTTAAGCCTTTATACTTGAGCAGAACTCTAGTATAGATAAAATGTATGTTTGCCCCTAATCAGTTGGGCTGAATTTCTGTGTCATACTGCAGTGATTATAGCCACTGTCAGATTTTCTGATTACTGGCATCTCTATCAGCCACCCTTAGATAAAAAACTCCATTTGTCCTGAATCAGTAAGCACAGGTGGGCTATTTAACCATTTTCATATACTTCTTTCTTCTCCAGGTCCTTATGAACATGGAAGACATAAAAGTTCGTGAAACGCAGATTTTTGACTACAGGAAAAAAATAGCTGAATCAGAGATTAAATTAAAACAGCAACAGAACCTGTATGAAGCTGTGAGATCAGACAGGAATCTGTATAGCAAAAATCTGGTTGAGGCTCAGGTAAATAATATATTTATGTCCTTACATTTTGATTTATTTTCACCCTGCATTTAAAACAGTTTCTGTTACCCTAATGGCAGAATTTAGAATAGATGAAAAAAAAATCTCATGGAATTCACCTGAAAAGAAGATCATTTTATGCAAAACTATCAGGTTATTTGAAATAGAAATGATACATCTTAATAGGATGTGGAGATCATGGTTCTACTTATAATTATTATGTAGAATTACTATTCTTGTCTTTCTACTTTTTTTTTTTTTGAGGCGGAGTCTCACTCTGTCACCCAGGCTGGAGTGCAATGACATGATCTCAGCTCACTGAAACCTCCACCTCCCGGGTTCAAGTGATTCTCCTGCCTTGGCCTTCCGAGTAGCTGGAATTACAGGCGCATACCACCATGCCTGGCTAATTTTTGTATTTTTAGTAGAGACAGGGTTTTCACCATGTTGGCCAGGCTGGTCTCAAACTCCTGACCTCAAACAATCCACCTGCCTTGGCCTCCCAAAGTGCTGGGAATATAGGCATGAGCCACTATGCCCGGTTGTCTTTCTAATTTTTAAAACTGCTAATAGCTACCATGACTCAGAGGGCAGCAGCATACTCTTTTGAATTCCAGAGCTTCACTTCAAAATCTTTTAGTTATATGTTTGTTGTGCTTCCAATTCCTTTCATAAAAGGAGGAATAAGGTGTGTGTGTGATGTTCATTATGCATATTTTGTGTGTATCTCATGAGAATATTTTGAGAGTTAATACTATATACTATAAAGTACTTTGAAGTCGATGGGCACTAGAGACAAAGGATTAGCCCAGTTGTAATTGATCAAGAGACCATTATTTTGAGAGAGCGTCCCTTAAGAGCTCTTAAATATATATTGAACTTCCATAGGGACGATGATGTCTAGTTCACTTTCAAACATTTCTCCTTCCATTTTGTTAGGATGAAATAACAGAAATGAAGAGAAAGTTAAAGATTATGACCCATCAGGTAGATCAGCTGAAAGAAGAAATCTCTGCCAAAGAGTCTGCACTTGTGAAGCTGCACCTGGAACAGCAGCGAATAGAAAAGGAAAAGGAAACATTGAAGGTACTGACCTCATAGTAAAAGCAAAGGACCAATAGTTCATCAGCCTACCTAGGCAACCTCCAGTCTCACTGAAGGTAGCGAGGGGCAGGGAGAACAACCACGTCTGCCTGTGGTCACTGTTGCTAGTTATCCAAACCAAGCAAACATGGCACCCGGAGGATGAGCTTTACCATCTCTTGTTCAGGGCTCCTTACAGGTAGTGTTGCTAGGTAGAATGGGGAAAGGGAGTAGTGGAGATGCACACACACCCCTTTCATTTATGCAGGCTATCATACATCAGTGGGAGAGAACCTAGCAGGTCAGCAGTGCCAAGAAGTCCTTGAACTTGCATGCCTGCTACAATCCCTCTGCATTCACAACCAAGTCCAACCATTGTGCTCACACTCAACCCTCCCAAACTCCTCCCTGAGCCTTCTATAGGTGATGCTTTGTACCTCTGTTTTTTACTTCGTGTACTGTGACTTTTCTATCTGCAGTCTTATCAACTGGGTGATAGAGCTCTGTTCTCACTTGGTTTACCCTTGTCCAGGTTTGTAGTTCACTTTACCTCTGTGGGTCTAAGAACTTTGCAGCTGCTCTTCCAGAGATCATCTCTGTCTCCATATATCTTACTAAGACATACCCTTTAAAATCTACTAATTTAGAATATTCTATGTCTACTAACATAAGGACCCTTTCCAAGAATACAAAGCAAATAATTATGCCATTTTAAATCCTCTAACCAAATATGTTTTACTATACACTTCACTAAACTTAGTGTATTTTTCTTTTTCCTATCTAATCCAATAGGTTTCCCTTCCAATCCATTTGACCAAGGATTAAAAAAGAAACTTCTAAGAAAATAATGCCAGTTTTGTTATGAAAATATATGTGCAGAATGCTCATGGGTTCTTAAGAGCTACTTGCAGAAACTGTTTACAACAAATTAGAGACTGGGTACCTTGGTTTCTGCACATATTAGCTTTCAAAGATAGTCAGTGTCTTGAAAATGTATATCTAGTGTTGGGCAGGTTCAATGCCATATTTCCTAGATTCTAAGATACCATAGATTGAAATAGGCACTCTCAGTTTAATAATGAGTTTTGTCAAGTTAATGATAGGTTTTCATGGAAATAGAACTACTACATTAAATTAACTTAAAGCTCATTTTGTTTGAGACGATTAAACTGTAACAAAAGTGAATGTACAAAAAAGGATATTGTAACTGATGTATTTACCTGTCTCAGACATTCATCTCCGCCACTCTATCTTATGATAGAAAAAGAATAGAAGATTCTGCATTAAATGTTTTTTATGTATAAAGAAATATACATATATTTTCTAAAACTGGAAAATGTTCTGCACTTTGCCCTTATACTCCTTGTTTGAAACCAGAGTTTTATAGAAAACGGTTTGTTCCACTGTGGAGCTTGTAGTGGGATAGGGTTTATTTATTGCTGAATGAATCAGAAGAAACTTATTTTTTTTTCCAAATTTTCTTTTTTTTAATTTGTTATTATACTTTAAGTTCTAGGGTACATGTGCACAACGTGCAGGTTTGTTACATATGTATACTTGTGCCCTGTTGGTGTGCTGCACCCATCAACTCGTCAGCACCCATCAACTCGTCATTTACATCAGGTATAACTCCCAATGCAGTCCCTCCCCCCACCGCCCCATAATAGACCCCGGTGTGTGATGTTCCCCTTCCCAAGTCCAAGTGATCTCATTGTTCAATTCCCACTTATGAGTGAGAACATGTGGTGTTTGGTTTTCTGTTCTTGCAATAGTTCGCTGAGAATGATGGTTTCCAGCTGCATCCATGTCCCTACAAAGGACACAAGCTCATCCTTTTTTATGGCTGCATAGTATTCAATAGTGTATATGTGCCACATTTTCTTAATCCAGTCTGTCACTGATGGACATTTGGGTTGATTCCAAGTCCTGTCTCTTATACACATCTAGATGTGTATAAGAGACAGTGGTGTGGGTGTCCTTTCTGTTTGTTAGTTTTCCTTCTACCAGTCAGGACCCTCAGCTGTAGGTCTGTTGGAGATTGCTTGAGGTCCACTCCAGACCCTGTTTGCCTGGGTATCAGCAGCAGAGGCTGCAGAAGATAGAATATTGCTGAACAGCGAGTGATCCTGTCTGATTGTTCCTCTGGAAGCTTAGTCTCAGGGGTGTACCCCACCGTGTGTGGTGTGGGGTGTCGGTCTGCACCTAGTGGGGGATGTCTCCCAGTTAGGCTACTCAGGGGTCAGGGACCCACTTGAGCAGGCAGTCTGTCTGTTCTCAGATCTCAGCCTCCGTGTTGGGAGATCCACTGCTCTCTTCAAAGCTGTCAGACAGGGTCATTTGCATCTGCAGAGCTTTCTGCTACTTTTTGTTTAGCTGTGTGCTGTCCCCAGAGATGGAGTCTACAGAGACAGGCAGGCCTCCTTGAGCTGCTGTGGGCTCCACCCAGTTCGAGCTTCCTGGCGGCTTTGTTTACCTACTTAAGCCTCAGCAATGGCAGGCACCCCTCCCCCAGCCTTGCTACTGCCTTGCAGTTAGATCGCAGACTGCTGTGCTAGCAATGAGGGAGGCTCCGTGGGCGTGGGACCCTCCCAGCCAGGTGTGGGATATAATCTCCTGGTGTGCCATTTGCTAAGACCCTTGGTAAAGCGCAGTATGAGGGTGGGAGTTACCTGATTTTCCAGGTGTTGTGTGTCTCAGTTTCCCTGGCTAGGAAAAGGGATTCCCTTCCCCCTTGCGCTTCCCAGGTGAGGCGATGCCTCGCCCTGCTTCAGGTCTCGCTGGTCGGGCTGCACCAGCTGACCAGCACCAATTGTCCAGCACTCCCCAGTGAGATGAACCCGGTACCTCAGTTGAAACTGCAGAAATCACCCATCTTCTGTGTTGCTCGTACTGGGAGCTGGAGACTGGAGCTGTTCCTATTCGGCCATCTTGCTCCGGGACCTCAAGAAACTTATTTTAAACATTGCTTCACCCATGAGCGTTATGGACTATGTTAGCAAGGCTCAGTGTAATCCATTTGGTGCATCATCTCTTTCCCTTTAAAGGATGGCATTAGGTCTCATCTCTTACTTTCCCTGTAATACTCTATTCAAAAGATGAATTATTACCCCATAATGGGGTCCAAGTTGGAACTAATGTCATTCTACAAAATCCTGCTTTAGAACAAATGTCCTATACAAAATATCAATTATTCCTAATTCCTCGGAGTTTGACTTTAGCTAATATTTGTTTCATTTATGGCCTCTGCCATCAGGTGTCTACACATGAAGCTCCAAAGAAACATCATAATAAAATAAAATACAGGGCAATTGAGTCCTGTATTATTTGGACCTGGGCCAGCAGATTTGGCAGCTGGTGAACATGAAGGATGATTAAAAGGCTCCTGCTCCAGAGACTGCTCCAAATGGAGAATCCCAAGTCTGGATGGCTTTGGGTCATCGATTATAGGAAGATGATTGCTTTGGACTTACTGTGGAACTAGGATGCCCTTTCTCCCCACATTTCCCATGAAGGCAAGAATGAGGAGCAAAGACAGAGGCCTCCTTGATTTATTATTTGAGGCTATCCAAGGTGACTTGCAGTGGTGCTCCGACTGGATAATTTTGGCCTATCATTAAGCCCGTTTGACATTCTCTAGAAAAATATGACAGCTCAAATGTTGAGTTTTAGCCTCTTGACTTTTTTAGCCTAAGAATGAATCACATTTCACACAGGTCCCTGGATTTTATGCATCTAAAGTCTGCCAACCAAAACCCTGAGGGAAAGGGCAGATTTTCTAGTAACTTTGCTCCAGGAGACATTTATCTTATTATTGCGAGTTGTACAAAGCTACGTGGGTACATAATCTCTCCTGGAGGGGCAAGCCCTTGCCTACTAGGTAGCCTGTGAGATACCCTTGGACAGGACAACCCAATTTACGAATTTTCCAAGCTGATAGGCAAACGACTATCTTTAGTAGGTCATCCTCATCTTCATTCATCCCCTTCAGCAGACAAATCTTGTCCTTCCATGTTTCTTTTACTTTTTCTGTTGCTACCAGCCTCCACTGATGCCTGAGGATCCTGTACACTGTCAGCACATTATGGTTATGACAGGATGTCAGTAGTTCTCTGTAGACGTTGCTGTGTCTGCATTCATCTGCCCATTGTGTCCCAGGCTTGTTTCATCAGCACTGAAGGAGCCATCTCATTTGGAGTGTCTGCCTTCCAGTCCTAACAAGCCCCCGCTTCTGTCTTGTCTCTTTCCAATCATCCCACATGTATCTGACAGCCCTTTGATTCTTGGTGAATAATTCATCAGCAGATTCTCTGTGTCCAGAGCTCAGCACCACATTAGGGCCTGGCTTCAGGGCACCATATTCTTTTACTTAGTGGACTCTGTAGCTCACCATGGATGGGGAGCTGTCATCCATGTGAGACAGAGAGAGAGAGAGAGCCTAATTATTCTCATGGCTAGAAGACTTCAGGTGGTACTATTTGCTTTGCTAGATTTAAACAGATAATTTCTATGAAACTCATGTAGAGATCATGTATGAATGGGAGAAATTCTGCAAGTATGACTCTTGAGATATGATTTATGCCCATAGCCAAATCTGGTTACAGATAATCCATAATGCCTATTGCAAAATGGTATAATTGTGGAAGTGGTGAGTAAAGGCTGTGTCTTGCCATCTCATTACAACTTCATACCACCAGTAACACTTGGATAGGTGCAGAAACCTCAGGTCCCACCTAGGGCATTATTTGATGAGCTTTTGAATGCATAGTGGTTGTTGCCATCCGTCCTGAGTGAGATGGCTCAGATTTATAACTGCTAAATGCATTAGACCCAAGGTATTTTGTTGATGTTAACATTTGCTGCCAACATCTAATGACACATCTTGTTTACAGCCCGTACATTTATGACATAAAGAGACCACTCAGAATTTTGATATATTATGAAAAAAGTATGCAGTAATGCCAAATGCACGAGTGGTTTTACATTTCAGACAGATACTTTTACACACTGTTGATTGCATTTTAATATAACAGGGGTTTCATTTTGTTCTGCTGATGGATTCTGATCAGCTCTTGTCACTTAAGAACAGGGAAGTGAATGTTGCACATCTGGGAAAATAAAAGTTTTATTAAAGAAAGCATGAGCCAAACAGGTATTTTATTGCTGTCTTTGCTGTCACCTTAAATGATTATAGAAAAAGAAAGGCTGGTTCTTCGCTCTCTTTCCTAACAGACAATCCCCCCAAGTGGTAAATACTAGATGAGATCTTTTCTCAATAAGTATTTCCTTTTGCTTATCCCTAGACCAAAACATGTTTCATGAAATGAACAAACAAAATGTCATAAAAGAAACCCTTGGTTTTATAGTAACTGGTTGCATTCAGTTTGTGACATTACACATCTGTTACGAGGTACACAGTGTCTTTTACTGTTTGGATAAGTCTGAGGTGTAGAATTAATGACTTCTGGTTTTCATGGGGCAGGGACAGACCCTAACTAAAACTGGGTTGGTTCAAAGGCACTTTATGAGGTTTCCATCATCTGGGTGTCATTTCTAGGTAGGCGGGGGTCCAAATACTTACTTGAAGGAAAAAATTATTACTCTTTTACTGACATTTGCCAACTTGCAAGCCATTGACAAGTTGAAACCTTAATATTATCTTGTCATCTCCCTTGTGATTCCAGCATGAGGGAAAGCAGAGCTCTTCCTCCTCATTTGCTTCTTCTTGTTCTGACCTGGTCTGTGATATCCCTCATCCATCCCAGTTGGGCATGGAACCTCTCAAATGCATATTCTTCTTTCCTGTAACATACGTAACTTTGGTTCCCCCACTGCATGCCCTACATAGTGCCTGGCACACAAGGCCTTTCCCTGTCTACCTTAGCTGTTTGTGAGCCTTACCTCCAGCTATTCCTTACCTAGCTCTCTAATTCAGCCATATTGGCTGTTTCACTATCTGGTGAACACACCAGGTACTTTATAGTTTGCATGCCTTTGTTCTCACAAGCCTGACTGCTGAATGCCCTGCTCTCACAACACATACCCCTCCATGTTGGCAATATCTGTCAACTGCCAGTGACCTGACTGGTTCTTCCCTCTAAACCCCAGGCAGAAATATAAACACCTTTATGTGTATACCCATGTCCTTTTCACATAGATAGATAGCATTTTCACACTGTTGTTGGTTGTTCATCATCTTCAATGGATGGTGAATCCCTCAAGTCTTGCTTATCTTCTATATTTAATTTGAAACTCTTGGGTGGTGACAGTAGAAGGAGCAAAGGCTTTCGAATCAAAAGATCTGGGTTGGAATCTCAATCTGCTATTTAATAGCTCCATGACCTTGGGCAAGTTACTTGCTTTTGTCTCTGTAATTGCATCAAATGGAGACAGGAGTAGCTACGCAAATGCCTAGTGTCATGCCTGGGATATGGTAGGTCACAAACAAACTTGTGGAATAGAAGTGAATGTGCACTTTGATGAGACAAATTGTCCTGCTGAAACTTAACAGTCCATAGCACCCTTTCTCCATAATTCCTATGATTTTCGTATAAACTTAGGGGCCAGATTCCGGTCTGAGCTCTCTGAGAAAGCATCCCTGCGACCCCCAGTCTAATGATGACTTTTTCTTTGACCTCCCATAATATCAATTCACTCTGTGTGATCATCAAGACGCTGACAAATTATTGCCTGGACTTCTTAATATTTGCCTAATATTTGTCTATCTTATCCTCTCATCTGGGTTGGAAGTGCCATCAAAGTAGAATCTATATATCTTTTTATAAATGACATCCCTTCTGTTTCATCAGGATGTTTTACAAGATAGACAGTTATTATCTTTGAGTAGTTTAATTTTGCTTACAAAGGGCTTTACCTTTGCGGTTCATGTGCTGGTGGTGTTAGGGACATTACAGGAGCTGGTACACATGGAGGCCTCCCCTGTCCTCGCCCCCACATCCTGCTCTGCACTATTCTTTGTGAATTCTCCTGGTGTTTAGCCGGTAAGAGATGAAGTGCTGCTGAATACCAATGAAGTCCCTGCTACACATATATAGAAAAATGATAGAAATCCCTCAAGGGCACAACTCAGAATAAACATGATGACTGTAATGTTCATTGCTATTTCTTTATGAGTGAGAGTGTGTGTGTGTGTGTGTGTGTGTGTGTGTGTGGTAAGCTTGTTTTGCTTGTGAGAGTGATCAAACTGTGTTAAATGAAACATCAGAGGAAAGAGTAAGAAGCACAACTGTACATCTGAATCCGGGCCCTGTCGTCCTGGTTTGTGCTGTAACGAATTGAAATTTGCCTGTATCTTCCACTCTTCTGCAGGCTGAGCTGCAGAAGCTGAGACAACAAGCCCTGGAGACCAAACACTTTATTGAAAAGCAAGAAGCTGAAGAGAGAAAACTCCTGCGAATAATTGCTGAGGCTGACGGGGAGAGGTTGAGGCAGAAGAAGGAATTAGACCAGGTAGAGCACCTCCTCGTCAGACTTACAGACCTCGTCAACAGACACGAGTATTTAATTCCACCCTTCCAACACTCCTTCCTCTCTAAGCTCTGCCAACTAGCCCTATTGGAAGAACAGCAGCAGAGACCCATCTTGTATTGATTAATTATGAAATATTCACTCCTTTATTTGAGTTATATTCATGAGCACTTCCCATGTCTCAGTCACTCCTCTAGGCACTAGGGCCACATTGGCCACCAAGACAATACGGTTCATCCTCAGGGAGCTTGCATTCTAGTATAATACAGTTGCTCACATATAATTGCAATGGATAATTACGTGATTTGATCTTGACTGGATGTTCACATGTATGTGTAAGATATGCCTCCCTCACACCTTATCATAATGTCAGCACATTACCCATCCAACATGAAAAAAATGAAAATAACAATTTGGGAGATAGAAACCCAAATGCATAATTTGGGGGTTAGAAATTTAACTGCTTTCAGGGACCTGGCAGAGAGAAGTTGGCCAGTGCAAGATAGAAGGAAGTAGTGGAACTTGGCAAGAGCTAGCCCGCCATGAAGTCATTCAGATTTGAACATTTATAAATATAAAGGATTTGGAAATAAATAAAATGACACATACATAGGCTAAAGATTATTAGATGATTGGACTATTGTTATTATTATTATTATTTTTGAGACAGAGTCTTTCTCTGTCACCCAGGCTGTAATGTGGTGGCACCATCTTGGCTCACTACAACTTTCTCCTCCCAGGCTCCAGTGATCCTTCCATCTCAGCCTCCTGAGTAGCTGTGACTACAGATATTGCCACTGCACCTGGCTAATTTTTGTATTTTTGGTAGAGATGGGGTTTCACCATGTTGGCCAGGCTGGTCACGAACTCCTAGCCTCAAGTGATCCACCTGCCTTGACTTCCCAAAGTGCTGGGATTACATGCATGAGCCACTGTACCCAGCCTTGGACTATTATTATTAATATTATTAAGGATTATTTGTTGTATGATGTTTTCAAAAACTCTAGTGGGAGGGGTCCAGTGTTGATTGTCTAGCCAGCTCTTTCCAGTGCCCAGCCCACGTGGTGCCCAGTACATGTGGGTGTTTGAAAGATACTCATTGAATGAATGGTGCTGCCACAATGAAAAGCTAAGTCTTCTCCTTTCCTGGTGGCCATGCCCCTCCCTACCTTCCTAGGTCATCAGCGAGAGAGATATCCTGGGGTCTCAGCTTGTTCGGCGGAATGATGAGTTAGCTTTGCTCTATGAGAAGATCAAGATCCAACAGTCTGTGCTGAATAAAGGGGAGAGCCAGTACAACCAGAGGTTGGAGGACATGAGAATCCTCAAACTTGAGATCAAGAAGCTTCGCCGGGAAAAGGGGATTCTTGCCAAGAGTGTGGCTAATGTTGAAGAACTCAGGTAATAGATAATACAACTCAGGGCTGAGGGCACAGTGCAACATGGGGAACTCCTAAAATCACTTCGTAGTCATGCTTGTTGCTCATTGAAGGTCTTTATCGAGTTGTACAAAATGAAGTTTACAGGATGAAATTATTAACGAATAATAAGAACAGCTTTTCCTAACGTCTCCATTGTTCCTATGCTGTGTCACAAAAATGAACCAGCTTCCTTTCAGGGTGGTATGGGCAAGTGCAAAAAGGTTTTTAAAAAACCATATTCTGGAGTTTACAAAATAATTTTCAAGGAAATTAGTTACAATTCAGAAATTTTTTCCCCCGATGAGCTTTCTTGAATTTCTTTAATACGTCAGTATGCAAGAGAGGGAGCATCAATATTGAAATTTAATCTGGTAACATTTGCACATCTTTTTCTTGGAATTATATACAGGAAGAAAAGAGGTGGAAAATATAATTTTATCACTACTTGAAAACTTCGTTTCCTTAGAAGGCGGCCAAATTTTATATCTCACTCTTGATTTATCTTCTGCAGCTTTCACTTTAGCTTAGTGCGCCTTCTTCTTTCTTGAAATCTTGCATTACACAAGATCTACTTTCCCTTTGGGAAAACGTCACCATGTTTTATAAAGGCAATTGCAGGAAACCAAATAAGAGTTCTGGTATTTTCTCAGTAGCTATCCTTATTCCCCACAGACTTGTAGATGAACAGTATCCTTGACCATCTTGGAATAAGGACATAGTTTGGATCTGCTTCTCAAATCAATTGGGTTAGAAGATAGTTTGGATATTTAAATGCAATGAATATATTCAGGAATAGCAAGGTTGCCACTATCAAGGATAGATCAATACTTTTTTCTTTTCTTTTTCTTTTTTTTTTTGGAGTTGCTTGTATTTCAGATGATGAAAGTAGTACAAATTCATTGTAGAAAATGTGAGAAATGCAGAAAAAATATAAAGAAGTGATTAGAAAATCACTCATAAGTTTACTACCCAGAGATACCACCATTGACATTTTGGAGACAAATGGATTCATTCTAAGTAACTATTGAATAGTCTCCAAACCATCGCTAAACTTGTCAGCCATGAGTTATTTTTATTACATACACAAAGGACGAAATTTTATCCATTCCCATTCAGTATTGCTAGTTTGTTGATAATATATTTTATTTTTCTTTTCAATGGGAAGAAAACTTAATAAAGGCTGGAGGCAAGCTAGCATGAATTCCAATCTGTCTTGCTACCTACAGACTGTGTGACCTTGGGCAAGTCACTGAACCTCCCTGAGCTTTGGACTTGTAGTCACAATTAAACAGCAAAACAAATCAATGTGCCATGTACAGAGTCTAGTACAAAGTAGGCCGTCAAGTATGGTAGCTAATACTTCTGCCCTCCCCTTCTGATGACATTCTAGAAAATTGAAGTGCTAAAAATATGCTTTTAATTCTAAGCAGCTTGCTCTGAGCGCCCTGTTGAGTGAACATCATGCAGTTAATTCTAATGGTTTGTCTTGCTAATGAGGGGAAGTTGTATTATTGGTTTAAATGAAGCGATTAAGTAAAAGAGATGGCTTAGTATTAGTAATCTGCACCCCTGCAGCAGGCGAGGACAGATAATAATATCCTTATTGCCCGTGTCAGTGCAAGTGCTTGCTTCTTCTCTGCCTCCCAACATCTCATTCTATAGGGTGACAGCCAGCTCGCAAACACTGAGGATGGCTATTGCATGTTACCTATTAACTAGAGATTTCTGAAGATTTTAGCAGTGTATTTCAGCCAGAACTAGATATTCAGGACTTTTTCAGCCATCTGTACGGTTGTGGAACTCAAGATAAAGTATCATCACAACTCCTAACTAGGGTTTCTCAACCTGGGCTGCATGTGAGAATTGCCAGCAGGACTTTAAGACCTATGAAGTCAGGGACCCATGCTAGACCATGAAACAGAATCCCTCTAAGGTTTGGGTCCAGGAGAAGAGGTAGTTTTCAAAGCTCCCCAGGGGATTGCAATGTGTAGTGAGGGTGGAGATGTATGCCCTGACTGGTGTTAGGTTATCACCCGAGCCTCAGCATATTGCTATCAGGTGCTGAGTTTGTGGACTGTAGCCTGTTCACTTATTACGACTATAGAGACATTTAGAAACATTAAACAGTGTATTTAAACTCTCATAATTCACTGCTGAAATGGTTTGGCTCTGTGTCCCCACCCAAATCTCACCTTGAATTGTAATAATCCCCACGTGTCATGGATGGGGGCCAGGTGGAGGTAATTGAACCACAGGGGTAGATTCCCCCATACTGTTCTCATTGTAGTGATGTAGTGAATGAGTCTCATGAGATCTGATGGTTTTTATAAATGGGAGTTCCCCTAGAGAAGCTCTGTTGCCTGCCACCACGTAAGATGTTCCTTTGCTCTCCCTTTGTCTTCCTCCATGATTGTGAGGCCTCTGCAGCCATGTGGAATTGTGGGTCCATTAAACCTCTTTCCTTTATAAATTACCAGTCTTGGGTATGTCTTTATTAGCAGTGTGAGAAAAGACTAATACAATCCCCCTGCCCTTTGTTCCTTTCATATACTTATGAATTTCTTGAGTATCCAGAATCATGACTCTGATTCTGAAGCCCTGGCACTTTTTTTCTTTTTTTGAAAGCTAAGCCAATTCTTGAGCTCTGCAAGAATTAATATCATCTGTGTCTTGCCCAGATTTAGGAGGCTGGTCCCAGTGTTCACAATATTCTCCCTAATTCCAACTTTTTATATAAGACATAGTGTGTATGCAACCAATTAAAGATAGACAGGATATTCAAACGGATGGATAATTCTTTGCAAAATCAAGTTTGTCTTATTCAGACAGGAGTTTTTTCACATGCAAAGAGAATTCTTGAAGGAGAGGACACGCTGCCGAGCCCTGGAGGAGGAGCTGGAGAATCCCATGAATGTGCACAGATGGAGGAAGCTCGAGGTAACATCTGGCAGTGCATTCTCCCCATCCCCAAATCTCTCCTCCTATCCCACGCGAAGCTTCTAACCTAAAGCACAACGAGAAGCGAGGTTTTATTTAATGCTATGCAAATTGTCACCTAAAATGTAAGGCTGGATCAGATGTAAATTGAGTTCTCTCAGAACCAGATGGTTCATTTGGGTTTTGTTTTAAAAGTCTTGCACAAAATCCTTTCTACCTAAAGAAAGCCCAGTGAAAACTGTGAACCTGCCTCACCAACTGACATTTATTTTTCTGGCTTGGGTAGGTTTTGGTTAACCAGTTATCCTGAGGCTGCGTATTAGTCTTGGATGTTCATGGCCTTTAGTGATGTTGGTCACCAGCATCTCTACCATCTTTCAATTGATCTTTGCATCCTTTTATTACTTACAGAAAATATGGTTTTGTGAACTGCCCTCTTGTTGAAAGCATGGTGTTAGCCAAGCCCTTTCTCTTAGAATCTGGGGACACAGCTAAAGTCTCATTGGAAGGGGATGGATAATCAACTTCATATTTAATTTTATTCTGTGGCTTTCTGGTAGTCATTACCACCAGCACTGAAAATAACAGTTAAAGACAAACTCTGCTTATTCAAGAAAAAGAAAGCTATCTCCTTTAGTTGTAACTAGCAATGTGGATGCCAAAAGGGTCTTCAACTAGATGAATGATCAGGGTATTGGGAGATGTAAGTATGTCATATAAGATAAAGCAGGGCAGGTATAAGAAAGAAAATCAGCCAGGGAGATTTTTGTTTTTCATTTTTATTTTTTTTCTTTAAGAACGGAAAGGACAATATGTATTTTACATAGGGACCTTTAAGAGAGGAAAAAATAAAAATTCCTTTATTTTTGATTTTAATTTTTATTTTTTCCTTATAAGAAAGAAAATCGGCCAGGCAGATTTTTGTTTTCCAATTTTATTTTTTCCTTTTAATGAAGAAAGCATTAAGGATAATGCATTATAAATTGTTATGTAAACACGAGGCCTGAATTTTAACAGCATCCAGCCCTGCCAGGTGAATGTGTGCCAAATCTGGTCCCAATAGATGGATATCAGTTGGCCCTGCTTAGTATTTCTCAAGCAAAGTCAGAGTCAATGGCATCTCTTTTTCTTTTCCCTTTTGGACCCTCATTCCTTCCTCTTCAAATGCCAAGAGTGATGTAGTTTACTAACCAATAGTAATATGCATATGTCTGCAGAAGCGGAGATGAAGATTTTAAATTCATTTACTGTCACATTAGTTCACTCTGTGTGTTTTCATGCAGATCTTTAAAGTTTCCAATTCCACATCAGTTTCTATTAGAAAAATTAGAAAATAGAGACTCTGGGAGGCAGTTGAAAATATTTAGCTGTTAGATTAATTCAAAATGTCAGTACAGTTGAAAGTGAAGCCTTGGCTCAAAGTCTAGAGGACAAATTACCAATTTATAACTATATATCTTGTTTGAATTGTACACAACTAGTGAGGGATCATCAGAGCTTTGTGGACTGATACTTCCATTTCAGAGCTAAATGCCATGGTAGTGCTCTGCTGCCAATGATTAGCAGAAGTCCACATCCTGGAAACCATCCCCATCATAGACCACAGTGAATCTTCCTGCTGACAATTACCAAAGGAGAATCCTAAGGCTGAGTGAATTAGGGAGCTCTGTCTCCTTCCATTCAAGAATTTTAGGGGCTGGGCACAGTGGCTCACACCTGTAATCCCAGCACTTTGGGAGGCCAAGGTGGGAGGATTGCCTGAGCCCAGGAGTTGGATACCAGCCTGGGCAACCTAGTGAGACCCTGTCTTTACAAAAAAATTAACCCGGTGTGGTGACACGTGCCTGTGGTCCCAGCTACTGGGGGACTGAAGCAGGAGGATTGCTTGATCCCCCAGAGTTTGAGGCTGCAGTGAGCCATGATCGCACCACTGCACTCCAGCCTGGGCAATAGAGTGAGACCCTGTCTCAAACAAAACAAAGAATTCTGGAAAATTAAGTAAACAGAGGAGACGGTGGGGTAAGCTGCAGAGCATAGGAATTGAGAACTATGCCTTTGGGGCTTGGCATATTTGGGCTTGACTCCAGCTCTGAGCCTTGCCACTCTGGGTAAATGACTTAGTTTCTCTCAGCCTCAGTTGTTGTATCGGTATAAAAGGAAAAGACATACTGTCTCCTAGGGCTGTCCTGCAGCTAAAGTATAATATTGTATAAAAAGCACTTAGCATAGTATCTGCATGGTGGCAAAGAATCATATATCGAGCATATTGGCTACCATTATTGTTATTCCCACTGGTGGAATAAACACATTTACTTTGTATTTATAGAATAACTAATGCCATAGATAAAACATTAGGAAAACTGCAGTCTGCTTTTTTGGGGACAGGAATTTATGATTATCTCATCTATTATACTTCATTTTTGGTTCTAATTCTCTCTGTATTAGGTCTGCAGGTTTCCAGTAGATTTTAATAAGACAATGTACATTTTAAATAGAGACCTCAGTGCTTTGAAGTTGATGATATCTCAGCTGCTATTGTTGTTCCCCTTGGACAGGCCAGCGACCCCAACGCGTTTGAGCTGATACAGAAAATTCACACCCTGCAGAAGCGTCTCATCAGCAAGACTGAAGAGGTGGTTGAAAAAGAGCTGCTCCTACAGGTAGCATTTTTGTTTTCTGTACTCATTGTACAAGTGGATTGCCTTAGCACCACCATCTCCAGGACTACGTTCTTAGATTTAGTCAGTTATTTGGCAGCATTGCATGTCCCATATTTAACTGTAGATGGCAACAGTGACTCACACATAGAGAACAAGCACAGTCTGATTAATTGGTCTTTTATGTTGCGATCACTGATATTTCAAGAATTCTGGAAAATTAAGTTCAAGGCTAGACTTACTGCAATGGGTAATGTGAGCAGCCCCGCCCCCTGCACTTCTCTATAGTTTTATTTATCAGATTCTTTTAAACATTTTTCTTCATATCTTCACATAATGCAAAATGCTGTGATTTTGATTTTGAAAATAAGCTTTCTCATAGCGCACAAATGATCTGTTCACATGAAGATTTGTGTGAGTGAAATGGAAGGAGAGATTTCTTTTTGAGGATTTCATGCAGTAAATTGTTCTGTAGCAATTAGGCCTGTATCTTTGCAAGGGTCTGCTGTCATCATCACCATCACCGTCTTCCTCACCACCATCATCATCATCACTTACTGCATGCCAGGTATGCTGGTGGCTTTACCTACTTGGTCTCATTTCCTCTTTGCAGTTCAGGAAGCAGGTATGGTCATCCCCAGCTGATGGCCGAGGAAGTCAGGACCCACGAGTTTAGTGTGGATGAGAATGTCAGCTCTTGAAGTTAGATGGCTTGGTTTGGAATACTGCCAGTTGCTATGTCAGTTTAACTTCATTGTTCTTAGTCTGTATTATGGGACAATAACAGAACCTGTGAAAATGGATATTGTGAGGATTGAAAGAGTTTAGTATTATCCATGGTAACATGGTGTCTAATAAATATTAGCAATTATTCATGTTACTTTGGATTCCAAAGCCTTTAATTAATTAATTGATTTTTTGAGACAGTCTTGCTCTGTTGCCCAGGCTGGAGTGCAGTGGCACCATCTCGGTTCACTGCAGCCTCTTCTTCCCAGGTTCAAGTGATTCTCCTGCCTCAGCCTCCTGAGTAGCTGGGATTACAGGTGTGTGCCACCATGCCTGGCTAATTTTTGTATTTTTAGTAGAGATGGGGTTTCACCGTGTTGGCCAGCCTGGTCTTGAACTCCTGACCCCAAGTGATCTGCCTGCCTCAGCCTCCCAAAGTGCTGGGATTATAGGTGTGAGCCACTGTGCCCAGTCCCAAAGCCCATAATTTTAATCACTAGGTTAATATTAGTTGGAGTAGGAACTTCTATATATGAGTAAGAGGCATTTGCTCCTTTTGTTTTACAGTCTACCTTAAGAAAGATATTTACCCTAAAGTTGGGTATACAGTAAATAACCTTCCAGAATATCACGACACTGAATGGCCAACAGGGATTTTCCTCTTCTCTTGTAGATTACTGTGGTGGTTGAGGGAGTAGACTTTGGAGTCCAGAAAGATCTAGTGTTAAATCAGTTTCAACCCTTGATCATTTCATGACTTTAAGAGAATTACATACGTTGTACAAATCTCAGTTTTCCCATCTGTAAAATGGAGATAATAATACCTGTTTTTTTATTAATGAGAGAAGGATACTCTAATCAGAGTACATAGTTTGGATGTCTTGTAAGGATAACCGATTAGTACATGGCACTGGGCTTTGACAGTCCAGAGTTTGCTGTGGCTCCCCTGATGCTGGCCATAGTCGTTTCCCAAGTCTGTGCAGCTGGTAAGTGCTAGGGTGGGACTTGGTCCAGGCAGTCACTCCAGAGCTCACACTTTCTACTGCTTCACTACCTTGTCTGTTCTGTTATCACTTTGTTAGTTTTAAAAAGAACCAAATCCTATGTTTGCCAAGCATCTGTATTATAAGTTTGTTTTATATTTCATGGACTGCTTTAACTTTATTATTTCCTTCCCTCTATATACCCTGGGTTTACTGGGTTCTTCTACCTTTTTAAGGTTAATGCTCAGATCATTGATGTTCAGTCTTCTAATATAAATATTTCAGTTATAAAATGTCTTTTAAATAATGTATTTAGGGTTGGGTGCAGTGGATCACACCTATAATCCCAGCACGTTGGGAGGCCAAGGGGAGTGGATTGCTTGAGCCCAGGAGTTCGAGACCAGCCTAGACAACATGGCAAAACCTTGTCTCTACAAAGAATACAAATATTAGCCAGGTGTGGGGGCGCACACGTTTAGTGCCTGCTACTCAGGAGGCTGAGGTGGGAGAATTGCTTGAGCCCATGAATTTGAGGCTGTAGTGAGCTGTGATTGTTCCACTGCACTTCAGCCTAGGTGACACAGTGAGACCCTGTCTCAAAAAAAAAAAAAATAAAATAAAATAAAATTTAGTTTCTTCCCACAGGTTTTGATATGGGGAATTTTCATTTAGTCCTAAGTGTAGTATATTTTCAGAATTACTTCTTCTTTGACAATAAGTCTTTAAAAATATTCACTATTTCTCCTAATAATAATTAGGAGATATTTTATGATATTTTAGGATAATTAAAAGTGTATTTTAAAAGTTCCAAATATATATGTATTTAAGTTATCTTCTATTTACTGATTTCTCACCTTTCTGCATTGTGGTCTGTATTATACAGATTTTTTGAAATTTGTTGAACTTGATTTGTGACCAACTAAGTGGTCAGTTTTTATACCCGACGCCTGCTGTTTGAAAAAGATACATACTCTCTAAATGCTCTGGGTTCAGTGTTCTCTATTTGTTCGTTAGATCAACCTTGTTAATTGTATTGTCCACGTCTGTACTTTTCCTAATTTTCTGTCTGCCTAATCACTGAAAAAAGTTTGGAGATTTGTCTGTTTCTCCTTCTCTCTGTCATTTTTTGCTTTGAGAACATTTTAGATCATGATAAGGTGAGTATAAGTTTACAATTTTTATTTCTTCCTGGTTGAATTGCTCCTTTCGTATTATATAAGAACTCTCAAAATAATATTTTTACTTACAAATCTGCCTAGTATTAACATAGCTCAATCAGCTGGATTTTGAAAAGTAGTTTTCGTATATTTTTACTTTTAAACTTTTGGTGTCTTTGTACTTTAGGACAATCTCTTGTAATTAAAAAAATCTTATCTTTGTCTCGGTGTTTAGTTTGTTTATTGATAATTTTAGGTTTATTTCTACCTTCTTATTTTCCCTGATTTTTTTGTAATGCTCAAAAAAATTCTGTCAGACTGAGTTTTCTTTATGTTCTGTTTTTCCCGTTTACCGGTCTCCCTGCTAACCATTACTACCTATTCCCTTTATACAGTTTTTCTTTTACTCAACAGTTACCACCACTCAGTATAATATTCTCTGTCTCTGATTCCCTTAAATACATATCTTAATCCTTTGTTTTTCTTGTTCATGGATTCCCTTAAAAATTCACCATGCATAGTTGACATCAAATCTAAAGTCTAAAGTTGATCAATATCTTCCTCCTTCTTACAAACAGTGTAAGAATTTGGAATGCTTTAACTGCAGCTACCCTGCTGTTTCCAAAATCAGCCATCACCACTATTATGTTACAGAGTCAATTTACTAAGATTTACCAAGATGTTTACCTGTTCTTTTGTTTTCTATTTCTACATATCTCCAATTCCTTACTTCTGGCTTTTTGAAGTATATCCTTTCATAGTTCTTTAACCAATAGATTTTTTTTCAATGGTTAACGCTCTCCTTTGCTTGTCTAAAAATGTTTTAAATTTGGCCTTATTTGTAAATGATTAACTTGAAATCTTATTTCTATTTGCACTTTGAAGACGTAGGTCCTTTGTGTCCCCAGCTTCCAGTGATGTGATTGAGAAGTCTGCTGTACATCTAATTGTTTCTGCTCCTTTTTAGGTGACCTGCCTTTTCTTCTGTTTGATAGTTAGATCTTCTCTTTGCCTTTGATGTTTCAGAGTTTCAGAACAACGCATTTGGGTATTAATTTAGTTTTGCTTACCATGTTCAGAACACACTCCATTTCCTGAATCTGAGGATTCCTGTGTCTTCGAATAGTCTCTGCTTTAGTGTCTTTATTCACTCCTCCTGGAAGTCTTATTAGAAGTACATTGGGTTTTCTTATTCTTTTTTTCCTATTTACTGACCTAGTTGATGTTTTTCTTGTCTTTAACCCTTTATGTTACATTTTCTTAGCTTTATCTTATTTATTTATTGACATGGAGTCTCACTCTGTCACTCAGGCTGGAGTGCAGTGGTGCAATCTTGGCTCACTGCACCCTCTGCCTCCCATCTTCAAGCGATTCTCCTGCCTCAGCCTCCTGAGTAGCTGGGATTACAGGCACCCACCACAATGCCCAGCTAATTTTTGTATTCTTAGTAGAGACAGGATTTCATCATGTTGGCCAGGCTGGTCTTGAACTCCTGACCTCAAGTGATCTGCTGGCCTCAGCCTCCCAAAGTGTTAATCTTAATCTTCTTGTTTACCAATTCTTTCAGTGTGCTTATCTGTTAATAGTCAATCCATTGAGATTTTATTTTCAATTATTTTATTTTTATTTTCTAGAGATTCTTTTTCACATATGCCTGTTTTTTGTTGATAGTTTCTTGATCTTTTCTTATGTTTTACATCCTTCCTTTATGTCCCCAATTAATTCAAGAATTTATTTTATAGTCTTGATCTGAATGTTCTATTATTGAAGTTCTTGAGGGGTTTTCCTGTTTGTTGTGACTGCTGACTTTCACTCATGGTGGATTTTTCCTTTCGTGTTTTGTGATTTTGGATTGTGAACTCATTTTCAGAAAGCCTTTATTTGGGGACTTGGGAATGGTTTAGGTTAAGGAAATGTCCATTCATTTGTTTCTGCCAGGTGCCTTAGAAGACATCACTTGCTTAGAACAATTTTTTTTAATGTTGAATTCTCACCTTGGGCTTCTTGGACTACTTGGCTAACGTATACTAGAACCTCAAACACTTGTGACAAAAGATCCATGGAGACAAGTTCTTAGGGAAGCAACTTTTTTTTCCCACCCAGAGCCCAGGAGAATTACTTAGGTTTTTAATTGTCG